ACACATTAAACACTGATGCGCGACACACCCCAACTTTGTGAGAAACCTTCACAACAATTTCTTTGATGGTTAATGCCTCGTTCTCCTCGCGCTCGATCTTATATATATTCAAAATGACCTCTTTCATTTCTGCACTCAGGTGTCTTTTTTTAGAGCGTTTCCTAGGTGGATTACAGGAGTTTACAACTTCATCGGCAGTATCTGTACTACTGGACATTTTGCGCAAGCAGTTGATAACAATAACAATCAATAACAAGGTATAACAATAACAACGACAAACTCAACAACTTAATAAGATAACAAACGAAAACGTCCAAAGAAATATCAAATTGCAATGATGCACACGACATACGTAACACGTCTGAACCTGAATGTGACTCTGCCTTGATACGACTGCTCTGCCGCTCGGCATAGGCATTTAATTGCGAATTGACCAATGAGGGCTCCTGTTTTACGTCGAGACGGCGGCGTTAGCGTGAAAATCACCCGAACCTTTTGTTTACATCCGGTCTATCTCTTATCTGAATATACTGTATATATACGAGTATATGGTCAGTTTCTCATACGTAATCGATCTGTAGCTTATAGCTATAAAAAATATCTAAAAGATTCCATGTAAGTATACGCTTTCTACTTGGAAAGTATATCGTACTCCAAAGGATGGTTCAATAATAACCACGTAGCGACACAAGCATGCATTTTTTAACTGGCATATTACGAGTATGTATATTTTAGTAGATACAAAAACGTATCTTCAAAATAAGTTCGACATCGCTACATCAGAAGCTACGTGATATATTCTTGTTCCAAAAAACATTTAACTTCTTCCAAATTTCTCTACATTTAAACGCTTTTTAAAATGATCTTCATCATATATACAGAGTGTTTATTAAGGATATATCGGGTATTCGGTTTGTACCCAAGGTTACGGCATATTTTTGTCATAATCAGTTGCTTGACTCAGATGGTCCCTCAGTAAATATCGACCGTCTCCTCCACTAAGCTAGTGCATTTAAGGTGTTTGCACAGCTTATTTTTATATACAAGGTGTTGGTATTACATGTTATTCAAAAAAATGCAGTACACGAAGCAGTCTCCACATCAATTTAAATTGTAGTAGTAGTAGTAATTCAGCCGTGTTATAACTCAAAATGTGGTTACAGTACTAGTAAGTAATATTAACCTTGAACAAAGTGGTAAATAAATAACAAACCTTACGAAAAAATCAAACATTACAAATCATACACACACAGGTAAAAAAAATCACAAAAAAATATGGAAGATTAATTTATAAAGTAAACAAAATTCAAATTAATAAACACGTATGTATATAATTTAAGATAAGGGAAACATAAGTAATGGACAGACAAAAATCAATAAATGCACAGCACACTGAACAACGAAACGAATTATTATTTATGGTATGCAACTAAAATCATTTTCTAAAAAGTCATCTAAACTATAAAAAATTTTAATCAGTAGGTACGTACATAAAATTTGGTATTCTAGCCTAGCTTTGTATGCTAGATTTAAAAATATTAACAATTTTAGACAGTTTTGTTTGGAAGCGTATGTAACAGGGACGGACTCAGGTTATTTTAGCCCCCAAATTTTTGTGTGATTCTATTTTTGAAATTCAATTTTTGAATTTGAAAATTTAGGGTTTTCTACATAAAAAAGGTACTCTTATTGAATATCGATAAATTGTGCCATTTTTGAATAAAATCAAACTAAAAAATTTGTCACACGATAGGAAATGTACTGAGAATTTAAATGAATTGTTGAATAATTAGCCATGGCAACGAACAAACTAATTTAATAATTGGTAAATATTACATAAATATATATTTCTACTGCAACATAGCTAACTAACATTTAGGCAAAAACAAAAGAAATAAATTTTTTCAACGAACGAAATTGAAATTTGTTTAAACAAGAACACATACAGTTGGATATACTAAAACCAGCTTTACAATAAGTGTTCAAATAAATTCCCATTTTGTTGGATACAGAGTCTCGCTCGACGAACTAATGATTGCGTAGCCCGAAAAGTGGAAAACCTTTTTCTTCTTATTTCATTGACAGCCTGATGGATTCTTTGAAGTAAATCTTCTTGAGTATTTACTTCAGTCGAGTAAAGTAGGTATTTTAATGACCCCCAAAAATAGAAATCCAATGGATTTAGATCAGGTGAACGTGGCGGCCACGCTACAGGACCTCGTCGGCCTTACCACTTGTCTGGAAAATTGCCATTCAATCAATTTCGAACATTGCGTCCAAAATGTGCAGGGGCGCCATAATGTTGAAAAAACATATTTTCTTGAAACTGCTGGCGCACATCCAATGGTATTATATCCATGAGCTCATTCTGAAGAAGAAAGTTCAGATACACCTCTGAATTAAGGGATTGGGAAGTACTATAGGCCCAATTACTTGATCCCCAATTACTCCTGCGCATAAGTTCAATGAAAATCTATGTTGGAAATTTGTACGGCGAACAACTTTTGGATTTACACCTGACCAGTGACGCATGTTATGGAAATTGAAAGCACCATTCCTAGTAAATATTGACTCATCCGAAAAAAATATTCTAGGAACACTGTTCTCATTTGCTAATATCCACTGGCAAAACTCGATCCGTGGTAAAAAAACCTGCCTCCGTTACATGCTGCACCCGTTTAAAATGATAAGGATGTAATCCTTGCATTCTTGTCATTTTCCTATCTATTTTTAGGATAACTATCAAATAGGTATTCATGAATTTTTCTTACTATTGATCGAGGTATATAAAGTCCGTACCATGAATGTTGGCATACACGTCATCACTTGATGCATTTATCCACGACTGGCAGATTTTCTGCCATCTCCTTTTAACGAGTGAGCACGACCGTACTGGATAACAATAACATATGTTTTCTGGTGCTACGACAGAAGTTGGGAGCGTTGCCGCTTACGCAGCAATGTGTTAGACAAAGACGGTATTATTAGGTAGGTCGCACTATATCGTAAGTCACGGTGACAGCGACGATCATGAGCGTACGGTTTGTATAGCAAAGGTTCAGACCTGCGCGGTTGATTTTTGCACCGTTTTCCGGTTTGTTGTTCTTTACAATTAGTGTAAATAAAGTGAATAAAAAATGCCCGGCAAAAGACTTGATGGAGTAGCCAGGGACATGGTGGTGAAGCTACTAAAGTATTTTGATCGCGAAAAACGTAATAATGGGCCCTTATTACCTGTGGACGCAATTCAGGAGGTAATATTTATATGTATGGTTATATGTATTATTGAAAAAAGTTTCACGTTGTTTTTTCTCCTTGCGTCATGTTTTTCTTGTTATGTTACACATGTATTAAAAAATTATATTATACTTTAATTTTTATATCTTATATTTTCAAATGGAGAGAAAACTATCAAGACAGACAATGAATAACTCTGGTTTCTCGAAGCTTAACTCTCGAACGTCTCGAACTCTTGAACGTTGAAAAAAAAGTTATAGGGTTTTTTCACCATCGACAGAACCTAAAAGTTTATTCACATGCCTATCACTAATACATGTGACATTATACGAAGTCTAATAAATCATAAAATAAATAAATTAAATTTTCAGCGTGTTTCCCATGCAATGGGCATTAGTATGCGGACGGTGTCACGTATTTTCAGAGAATCAAAAGAAAACCAAAAGCCCGTAGACCAGGAAGATCAAGCTGCCTCCAAAACAAAAAAATATAAGCCCCGGGAAAAAACAAAAACAACAGACTTACCAGACGCTGTGAACATGGAAGTGAAAAATGCAATTTACAACATGTACTCAGAAAGTACGTATTTTTGTCTCCATTAATACGATTTATTTATGTATTAATACTTACAGAGAGGCATGTTACTATCAAAACATTAAAGGAAGAATTGGACGTCAAACAAATAGTGGACATAAGCAAGATGTCATTGTGCCGCTTATTGGCTTCCAATATAAACAGGAAGACAACCGGAAGGCGCTTATGGAGAAAAGCAGTGTCGTTCCTTTGAGAGCAGAATTTCTGCGCAAATATAATGAAAATGGAAACTCCCCCTTTAAACGCACAGTTGTTTTTTTAGATGAGACATGGATTTTTGCAAAAGGGAACAGGAAGAGATCCTGGCAGGACGGATCCGTAAAAGGGACCCGAAAATCTGGGGGATTTGAAGGCAAACGCTATATTGTATTACATGCTGGTCACAGTGGGGGGTTCGTGGAGAATGCTTCACTCATCTATGGCACTGCCTCAAAACTGGCAGATTATCATGGAGACATGAATGGCGATATATTTTTGAAGTGGATCAATGAGAAGCTAGTTCCAAATTTGGAGGAACCATGCCTCATTGTTATGGATAATGCTTCCTACCACAGTGTATTAGTGGAGAAGCAGCCAATATCATCTTGGACAAAAGCCCAGGTCATACAGTGGTTGGAGAGAAACAACATTAATTTTGAGAGGAACCAATTTAAAAGTGAACTCTTAAAATTGGCCAAGCAACATGCTCGGCCTGCAAGATTTGTTGTTGATGAATACCTACGAGAACATGGGCATGAGGTACTGCGACTACCGCCATACCACTGCCAGTTCAATGCCATCGAACTGATATGGGCACAGGCAAAACAATATTATGATACCCATATAGGCGCGGAAGGTTATGGCGCTGACAAAGTGCTAGGCATGTGGCAGAAGGCATTGGAAAACTGTACTCCTGAAAGATGGGCCTCTGTTGTCACACACACGGAGGGAGTTATAGATGCATGGTATAACAGACAACGAATCCTGGATAATGTGCCAGAAGTGTTTATTACAATCAATGGAGACGACAGCAGTTCAGATGAAGATTTTTAAGACAGCGATATTTATTTCGGTCAAATCTACCCATGAAAGCTTGAAGGAATTGTTGTGTGATAGAGCCTGGTAATTCATCGTAACTTTGTGTTCATATACGCTATCTACCAGTACAAATAAAAAAATCTATTAATTACCTTATATGTTCGAGTATGTTTAATTTTAGAACTTAAAACTGAAATTTCAATATTTTTCTCAATGTTATGCTTTTTCAAAAAATATTGTTTTTCTTCATTTCCTGCAAAATTGAAATATGTTCCTTAAATCGCGCATTCAAATAACAATAAATCAAGACTTACCGTTTTGTGCAGCAAATATTTTCGAAATATACAGAAAATACTTTTTGCCGCCTGACACAGTGCATTTTTACTACTAAAAATCTCTTCCCGGGGGCACGCCTATGGATTTTCGCCTATGGTAGAAAGTGCCTACTTCAAAACTATTTGCTCGGAAATGTACAAATGATGACGTGTACGCCAACATTCATGGAACGGACTATACATAATTTCTGATACATTTCGTATGCTTATTTGGGGATTATTTTCAAACATAATTAAAGCAATATCGATACGATGATTTTCCAGTGGCCTTCCTGAGCCCTGCATGCGCTGAAAACTTCCATGGTTTGACAAATTCCGGTGAATATCAGTAAACATTCGACGTCCAGGTACTATGCGATTGGGAAATCTTCTTTGATATTCTCTTACGGCTGCCAATGAACTGCCATTGCAAAACCCGTACACAAAATGCATGTCAGTCAGTTCTCTGTCTGTAAATCTTGGCATTTTAAATCGATTTAATAAAAATTTTGATTTTAATCTAGTAATTTTACACTGCTAACAATGTCAGCTTAACGTCACAATAAGTCATAACAAATCAAAACAACTTTTGTTGGCAGTCATGGCTAACTATGTATAATCAACAATTCATTTAAATTCGCAGTACATTTCCTATCATGTGACAAATTTTTTAGTTTGATTTTATTCAAAAATGGCAAAGCTGAAAAGGTGGAGTGTTACCCTATGAGTATTTTTCAGCTCAACCTTAAAAAAAACAAAAAAATTCTATCTATATCATGAACATATTTAAGGGAAAATCCAATAATAAAGATAAATATAAGTAACAATGATAGTCATAATAACTAACAATAAAAAAAATGTAGTGAGTTTCAGCTCATCCATTTGACAACGATAACTTTCACAATAAAACGTAGAATTAAAAGTCTTTTGTTGCTCGTGCAGCTATCAACATCCTATCAGAAAATCATATTTTGTAAGGTAACGAAAAAGTATTTTGTATCAACAGTTAGTAGAACAAAAGGGAAAGAGAGACAAGTAGAAAAGTAGTGGGCGAAAATAGAGTCGGCTTATAAGATCCTTCACACTTCCGACAGATACAAATTCTTTAGATTTTTCATAAAGTTCAATAAAGGAAAGCCAAAAGTCATTTAGGAGCGAATTATAAAGTTTGGCTGCGTTATATGAAAAGCTGCGTCTAAATGTTGATGTAGCGTGAGGTGGTATAACGATCATTCGAATATTTATAATATATAATGAATGGATATTTTCAAATTTTGAAATTTTATCTAAAAGGTATTCCGGCTTTTTGTTCACGAGGACTTTGTAGACTAGTGATAGGAAATATAATTTTCTCAGTGTTGTGTTGTTTGAATATATGTCTTATATGATAAAACTTTCTTATACCAGAAAAGAATCGCAGGCACTAATTGTGTACTCGCTGTAATTTTAAATAAACATTTTTTAAAAGAGCCGGGCCATATATGCTGTCACATAACTTTATTTTCAAGCTACTATTTAAATCACTACTACGCTGTGAATATATGTCTGATAGATGCGTAGAATTATCAAAGTTGGGTGCGTATAAATGTACTTACATCAAAAAATTGATATAAAACCTCAACCTACAAACCTGCAACCCCCACCACTAAGTTTATTTGCCTCTAATTTTTTTCAAAAATGGTGAGAATCCTCTGAAAGGTCAAAAAACGGAGTTTGAGCGATTTGCATTCTTTTTCGTTTTTTGCCATTTTCTGTGCTTCCGCTGGACTGATTTTCAATAGCTACAAGCTTTTGCGACCTTGGCATCGTAGTAACATTGTGTACAAATTCCAGCGTAATCCGAGCGGTAGTTTTCAAATTATAGACGATTATAAGATCAGCGGACAGACCTACAGAAAATCGCCGGAAATAAGTGACATGCTTTTTCGTGATGTTTGTACATGTTATAACATCCAAAAAAAGTAATACCTCATATTCGAAAAAAATTGCGATTACCACAGTACTTCCCCGCCAGTACGCGTGAGAAGTAAAAACAAAAATCGTTCAAGCTTCGTTTATTGAGAGGCTTCTGATCATTTCAGAAAAAAAATTGTAGGGAATAAAAATCAGCGGTAGGGGATCATAGAGGGTGGTAGAGGGTATATCTCTTTTTATTTTTGATGCAACATATTTATACGCTATTTTACACACTTATTAGTACACATTTCGCACATCATAGGTTTCCCAGTACATTTGCCCTTAAAACGATGACAACCTTTAGGCGTCTGACTGCATTGCCGGCATCTTAAATCTTAAATTATACTATCGTGGCTGGCGCTCATAGTATGTTTGGTTCAGTACCGTTGGTCGCAGAAAGCTAATTTCTTACGCTAGTCGGTGTTATCAAATGGGTGGGGACCTTAGAGTATGGACTAATTGTATGGGCATGTTTGGCTGACTTGATCCATTCAATTTTTTGTATACATGTTTGAATTTAGTTCAAAGGGACTAACTTGTGCCGAATGTAATCATTCATGTGTTGCGTGGGAAGTGAAAAGTCAACCTACTTGACTCAATTTTTTTCGTTACATACAGTAATGGACAAAAGTATATAGACAAATATGAATATTTACCTAAATACCTTTAGAAAAAGAATTCATACTTCATTGCTCCATAAACAAATGCGTTATTAGTAGAAAAAGGAAATTCCTTGTTCTTACATTATCTGCAATGAACACAATACAAGTCTGAATATAAGCACTTTTTTATGAGGGACAAAAATGTATAGACAAATTCTTGTCAACATTAGTTTAGTACAGTTTCGTGTCAGAAGAGGATTAGTTTGTGTTTATCAAGTATTGTAGAATAAGTTGAGTGGTTTGAAGACCTTGCCGCGTGGTCCAGAAATTTCTTTCGATGTGAAAACTAAGATGATTGAGTTATACAAAGATCGTCAACGCCAAGTCGACATTGCCAAAAATTTGAAGCTGAAGCGTGAAGCAGTTTGGGCAACATTGAACAAATATAAACAAAAAGGTATCTTGGAAGCCTCTAAGAGGAGTGGTTGGCCAAGAAAACTAAATGCTAGATCAGTTGGATTAATAAAAGTAATTTCGTCTAAAGATCCGTTTAAAACCCCAAGACAAATAAAAGGCGAAATCGAGACAAAAGGAATTGTCAGTGTTCCTACGAAAACTGTAAGCAGAAGATTAAATGATTTGAAGTTATTTGCTCGTCGCCCGAGCAAGAAGCCGCTAATCTCGAGGAAAAACCGTAAGGACCGATTACAATTTGGACGGTTGCATCTTGAGGGAGGGTATGTTACAGTGACGAATCCAAGTTCAATATGTTTGGATCAGATGGTGTTCATTACGTTAGATGTCCTAGTGGACAAAGATTGAACCACAAGTACACTTTGCCCACTGTCAAACATGGAGGCGGGTCTGTTATGGTTTGGGGGTGCTTTTCGGGGTTTGGGATGGGACCTTTACATAGAATAGATGGCATTATGGATAAGCTTGTATATACAGGCATACTAAAGCATGTTATGTTACCCTATATGGAAGACAATATGCCCTTAAGATCAATCATCCAGTAATATAATGACCCGAAGCACACTTCAAATCTCGCAAATAAATTCTTTCTGGATGAAAAAATACCAGTTCTCAAATGGCCTTCACAGTCTCCCGATATAAACCCCATTGAAAGTCTATGGGAATACTTAAAGTGTATTTACACCCAAGATAGAAAGGATGCGTTATTGCCAAAAGCAAGGACGGCGTACAGGGCCGCATTCAGGGCTACCTCCGAATGATGAACTGCCACCAACGTGTTGTAAAACAAACTTGACAGTATTTAACGAAATTATCTAATATAGTGAAGTGGTTATAGTTAAGAGTGTCGCAAAATCAAATTTTTATTCTTGAAGGGGTGCTTAGTTTTTCTACAGATTTTTCAAACTAGACAACATGGAGAAATACATACCAGAGGTAACCAGCTGCTCACTATGCACAATGAATCCATAGTCAACGAGGGGTAGAGATGACACTTTTGTACATGAAATAAATATAAGGCTGTTCAATCAATTAAAAATAGATTTTGAAGGTGCACTTCGTACTTGCATTGTCTGTAGTTTATCTGTAAGTTAATATTTCACTATAATTAGGAGTCTCATAATATAATAATAATAATAATAATAATAAACGTCTTTATTTCCAAATAGACTGATTATATAAAAAAATAGCCAAATACGGGCGAAGTTCAGCTGTAGCTGCTCTTCCACTTAACCCGTGTGACAAAACAAAAACACGAAACTTACTCAGACTCACTTGAAGAGCTATCGTCATTAATGTTTATGATGATGGATTCAAAATCTCTCTCAATTATATTGTCCAGCTCCCACATTGCTACCTCCACTTTCTCCTGAACATGCTGCACACATTTTTGCCATCTTTCTGGTGTGACCCTCTGTATAGCAATTCTGAACAGCTCTTGCATGTCAGAAAATTTAAATGTTTTATTGTGTGCAGCAACAAAATTCTTAACATCTGCCCATATGAGCTCAATGGGGTTGAGCTCACAGTGGTATGGCGGCAAACGGAGTACTGTTTTGTGGTGTGCTTTGGCCATTTCATCTATGACATATTTATCATGTCTTGGTCTGTGTTGATTCACAATATCTAATAGTTGTAATTTCAGTTAGGAAGGGTCAAAAGTTATATTTTTGGAATGGAGCCAGCTCTGAATGTCTGATTTCCTAGAAGCTGAATTTGGGATTTTTTCTATTTTGCAAGAATGAATGATAAGGAGCATTATCCAAAACAACCACAGAATTGTCTTCGAGACTTGGTAAAATGACTGAAAACCACTTCTCGAATGCTTCCCCATTCATCTCTTCATGGTAGTCAGTGGTTTTTTTTGCTCAAAAGACCATAAGCCGTCATCCACGAAGCCATCTACA